TGAGAACCCTCTAAAAGCATTGCACAATTTGAATATCAGCCACTAAGAGCACTAAAGAAAAGGAGTTGGCAGTTTTAAAGCACCTTATCATGTTGAAATGTCTCAAAGAGCTTCACAGTAATTACTAGTGTGTATTGTAGAGAATGTTTTAGGCAAATGTAGTAGCCATTTTGCACACAGAAAGGTACCATTAACGTGAGCTGAATGATTAATTTATCTGCAGGATTGTTGGCCAGGACACCAGGAGAAAATGGATTCTCTTTTCAAATAGAATTTAAATAGCGTCTAGTGATCTTTATTGTCCACTCAGCAGGCAGACAGCCCCTCGGTCTAATGTTCTCTCATCCAAAATATGACACCTCTGATAAAGCAAGGTTCCTGGAGTGTCAGCTTATTGAGCTTAAGCGCCCTTGTGAATCATAATCTTCTGACCCAAAGGGGAGAGTGCTACCAACTGAGCCAAAGGTAAGGAATCTTCATTTTTGACAATCATCAATGCAGGTTACACATGTGGTAAAGTTTGCACCAAAATTCTTGGAGATCAGATGGAGTTCAGAGTGCATCAGTTGACAAAATTATCTCTTAAGAAGTTGAAGATGTCTAGAATTTGAAGGTGGGGTGGGGGTGTGTGGGGTGGGGGGGGGCAGAGAGTTTCCATTATTTCCTGAGTTTGTTTAGGAGAAAGTAGTCCTGTGTTGTTCTAAATCTTCTTGACTAATTACGGATATACCAATATATATATATCTCAGGAATATCTATGCGTAGATGGGATGCACAAGCTTTGTTTTGTCAGGTACTCTTAAGCATGGTGATGGGTTTCTGTGTGTGTCTGACAAGAGCAGGAAGAAAGATCTCCTAAAAGATTCAGCCCTTTTACCAACTCTTCCCCCCTCCACTCACTGAAACAGCTGAATAAACAACATGTATCATTTAGCAGTCATATCTTTGCGGTTCTCATGTTTCCTGTCATTGATGGTGTGGTGACCAGTGATACTAATAATAATAAAATAATAATCCTTGCATTTGATATAGCACTTTTCACGTCGGGAGGACGTCCTAAAGTGCTTCACAGAACACACTGTAAAGTGAATTGACTGTATATTTGTGGACGAACATGGCAGCCAATTGCACACAGCAATGGCTTTTGGTTTTTTGGAGGGATTATTATTACACGTGTGGAGTAAGGAAACTTGCCCAAGGTTTCGCCCTGCCTGGAATTGAACTCAGGTCTCTCGCTTGCAAAGCGAGTGCTCTAACCACTGAGCTACAGGACTCCACTGAGAACAGAATAAGTTGATTCTAAAATTCAACATCCATGCTCAATTACAAGAAGCCTCATAATTCAGGTCACTGGCTCAGAAGATTTATCACTCCTAAGACAGTAATTCATGTTTGCAGCACATTTTGCTGAGTCAAAGCAGAGAATTAATATAAATTCTTACCTATTTAATAATAATAATCCTTGCATTTGATATAGCGCTTTTCACGTCTTCTAGATGTCCCAAAGCGCTTCACAGAATATATTGCAAAGTGAATTGACTGTATATGTGTGGGCAAACGCGGCAGCCAATTGCGCACAACAATGTCCCACAAACAGTCGTAGATTAAAAATGACCAATTTATTATTGTTTTTGTTTTTGGAGGGATTATTATTAGGCGTGTGGAGTAAGGAAACTTGCCCAAGGTTTCGCCCTGCCTGGAATTGAACTCAGGTCTCTCGCATGCCACAAGCCCCATGGACTGAAATAGGTAAGAATTTATATTAAATATGATCTGAAAGTAAAGCTACATGTTTATCTCTATAGACTATAAACATTATCAAAATTACACACAAAAGGAAGAATAGTTGACAGTACTACTGTAACCATGCATTTACAATAGGAATTTGATTTATATTGGCATTCACAAATTTATGTCCTAATGAATATCAGCAAGGTATCAGGCCTGAAGCATGTCATTTGACCTCACTGTGTTTTGCTAAATATCAAATCCCGCTATTCAACTTTAACTGCAAACAGAAAATGATGAATCATTCTGATTTTAGTAACAGATAACTGAGGTTTGAGCAGAAATCTGGGTTTTGGTACAACGTCTGCAAACTATCTTATGATAAACTGGGCGGAATCAGGAGGGGTGGAGGGTGGGGAAGGTAAGGGTAGGTGGGTGGCCGAAGGCACAGTCGAAGAGGAGGGTCTTAAGATGGGTCTTGAAGGAGGCAAGGGAGGAGGCGAGGCGGAGGACTGCAGGATGGAGTTCCAGAGGGTGGGGCCAGAGAGGCTGAAGGCCTGCCCACCAATGGGCGGTTACAGTGGGGGGTGGTGACTGAATCCACTTAGATGTGGTTCAGACAAGCTATTGGACTTGGTTCGATATTGCTCAGATTGAGAGCCACCTTATTTCTGTGTTTTGTAATAAATACAAACATTTGAGTTTCCTGCAGAATTTCTGTCTTGCTGTGGTATGTTTCTTTTTTTACTTCTCTGCTGATAAATATGAATGCAGAAGGGTAATAACAGCGATGTGAACCTGATCCCCATGTGCAGCTTGCTATAATCTTGTGCAAACATGGTATTACAGTGTACCTCTGTTATTGAAGCAATGTTCTGAATGCTACTGAACTTTGTAATTGGCAGACAGGCCTTCAGCCACTCTGCCCCCACCCTCTGGAAGTCCAACCCACAGTCCATTCCACGAGTGCTGGAGGCGGGGGGGCACCAGGCAATCCGCCCCGCCCCCCCCCCTGCCAGGGCCGGTCCTTGCCAGGGCCGGAGGTGGTTCAAGAAAGGATATGCGATGATGAACTGATACTTGTTAAAAAGTAAGAAAAACATGTACAACTTACTGAACTCCCATTTATTTGCTGCCCTGCTAATATCTGTGGCATGAGCAGTTGTACGCTTGGGATAGAGAATATTCAGCCTTGTGTGACTGAAGACCTTGCTGATGTCTTCTCAGTAATGCATTAGCTGAACATAAAAAATTATCTCCAATGTATACAGTGTAGTATCTTGCAGGCCCGGCCCCTGACAAATCCCCAGTGCTACTGCTTTTAGTTACAGTGCTGAGTATTTTGTCAGCTCAGTCCAGGCATCACAAGATCGATTTGAATGAAGAAGGCCTTTCGACCATCTGATCTCATCCTCCAGAAACCCTCCCCCATCACAGCATCCGGTGTGCTTTATACTTCCTGCTGCTTTTTATAACCACTTCTGTAGACCATTTCATATGCAGCTCCTATCTAAATTGCACTCTTTTGGGGAGTTTTCTTTTCTAGAAGATTAAAACCACTAAATTGAAAAAGTAGTTTGGAGACAATTAGCAGAATTGAAGAAGAGAGCACTGGGGAATGAATAATTGTTCTGACAAAGCCTGAGAAGAATAATTAGGTGGGAGAAAAGCTGCAAATCGTGAACAGCCAATAAAGTTGCTGATTCCAGCATTGGTCACTCTGTCTGGGGCATTATCACGGTTACCCTATTCTTGCAGTCTTTTGTAATGTGTAAATGATATGTATATATCTTCTATATATACAGGAGACCTGTAGCTCAGTGGTTAGAACACTCGCCTCACAAGCGAGAGACCTGAGTTTGATTCCTGGCAGTGCGAAACCGTGGGCAAGTTTCCTTATTCCACACGCCTGATAATAATCCCTCAAGAAAAAAACAATATTAATATCGGTCACTTCAATCCACACCTGTTTGTGGGACACTGCTGTGCACAATTGGCTGCTGTGTTTTGCCCACTAATATACAGTCAATTCACTTTACAGTATATTCTGTGAAGCACTTTGAGACATCTTGACCACATGAAAAGCGCTATATCAAATGCAAGGATTATTATTATGCATACAAATAAAACAGCAATGTCTGTCTGTGCTTCAAGAAGGATCTCACTAACCGATTGACGTAGTGACATGAATTATACCTCATCGGAAGGGTCTTGAAACTTGGAGTGACATGGGTATATTTGTTTTCGGGTATCTTCATCGTTCCTGGCCACCGAGTCAAAGTAGCGCTGTGGCATCGTGCATTACAGAGTACGTATGTACGCATGCATTGCGTTTATAGCTGGGAGCCGTGCTGGCTGACTGGAGCTGTCTCTGTCTTTCCTCCAAAACACACAGTCTCTACATTTTATAATATACTAGCTGGACCTGTTGCAGCTACGCTTGAAACCAAAGGAGCCAATATGGAATATAGATTGCCACACAGACAAACAGACAGACATTTTATCTTATAAACTAATAAAACGATGTCTGTCTGTCTGTGTATCTAACAATCACGTAATAACCGATTGATGTAGAGACATGGTTTATATTTCATCGGAAAGGTCTTGAACCCGGCAGTGTCAGGAGCATTTGTTTTGGGGGGAGGTGCGATATGAATGCAAATTGTTCAGAGAGCGAAAACAAGGATGTTTTTATTTTGAAAAGTAGGAGGATTTCAATATGGAATAGATCACCTTCTAAACTGGTAGAAAAATAATATAAACTGAGTCACAAAGCTTAATGTCCTTTTATGCCAAATGCAAGTAACAGTATGGATCTCGGCGGGACTTTGGAGTCCTGTAGCTCAGTGGTTAGAGCACTCGCCTTGCAAGCGAGACACCTGGGTTCAATTCCAGGCAGGTCAGGACGAAACCTTGGGCAAGTTTCCTTACTCCACACGCCTGATAATAATCCTCCAAAACAAAACAATAATAAATTGGTCATTTTCAATCCAAGGCTGTTTGTGGGACTCTGCTGGGCCCAATTGGCTGCCGCGTTTCGCCCACAAATTCAGTCAATTCACTTTACAGCATATTCTGTGAAGCGCTTTGAGACATCGAGAAGACGTGAAAAGCGCTATATCAAATGCAAGGATTATTATTATTTTGTTATGTCAATGTCAACAAACACTGCATGCAATGATGCAGTGTGAATTCTTGGGGCACTTGATTTTCACAATATCCATGACAGCATCAAACACTTGCACAGTCAGGCATAAGATCACAAGAGCTGTATATGGAGGCCCATTAGTTCATTTAAAAGCAAAGCGAAAGAAGTAAGAGGTTTTGGTAATTTCACGTTCCACGATGTGACCCTCTAGTGGCAGAGATACCCAACAACACTAGTCTGATTATGCTGTGCTGCTACACAGTAATAGTGATTGGCAGAATTTAGAGAGAAGAATGTTACAATTTGTAAAGACTTTCAAATGTTCTTAGATTAAGGTGTGTGAAGAATATAAATAAGTAGACTCGTTGGATTAAACACTGATTTCATTTTATTTGAATCAGGCGTATTTTAATTGAATAATAATAATTATTTTAATTGAAATTTCAAAACCTGATGTAAATAACAAGACAGGAGAGGGAATGATACTTTGGATTTGCCCAGAAGAGGTTCCCAATAAATACTGTCTGTAATAAGCGAACAATGCAAAAGAACACTCAAATAAAATTTTAACCATAACACAGCCAGTAGAGATAGGAGCCAAGCACAACATGTTTACCCTCTGGCTCAGTTAACTAAGGTGAGCAGCAACAGCATTTAATAGTTAGAGGCAAGTGCATTACGATGGGAGTCAGAGACATGCGTATTAAATAGACTGTTTTTTTATTGGGTTGGAGAAAAAGGAATATACATTCATCATTCTCCATCAAAATCAAAATTCCTAATTTTATACTCTGTCCCTTTCATGTCCTTGTTTCTTTTCCTGCTTTATATTGTATTAACAAAATAAAATAAATAATAAAATATTATTAATATTTTCAAAACATATAATGCTTTTGTTAGTTTCTTGCCAGAAGAGTTATTACATTTGCATTGATTAGGCTTTCCCCAGAAAAATTCCAACTTTGTTAAGAGATGCGATGTGTAAAATTGTTGCATTCATAAGTACATATCCAACCGTACTTCATTGCTTGTTGAGGCAAATTTTCTTACGGATAAGAAGAAAGCTGAGAGCAGCTATTACAGTAACAAGGAGCACAATTATAATGTAAACTATAATGTGTAGCCGTTGTTGGGGTTCACCTGAAATAAAACATTTCAAAAGATTTGTCAATTGATAAACTTTGCTTGTGAATTTTATTACCCTATATATTCACACACATTCTAAACAGTTACTTTCAATTCAATTCTGAAAATCAGATTTGAAATGTTTTCCATTCAGTTCCTAGCTCTGCTTTCAAAAACACTATAGGTGATAAGTTTCCTAAATTATGTTTCTATCGCAACTGATTCAAAAGAATTTTTAAGGCAACCAAGCAAAGAATATTTATTCAACCCCCATGTTACCACAATTTATCCCAGACTCTCTATCCCTATCTAGACATTCCAAAAACTCCATGAAATACACTGCAGTAAAGTCAGTTGTTTTCTATTTGTGTCTTATAGAATGACAAAGTGCAGATATTGATATAGTTGATGGTTATTACATTTTTATTGATTTAGAGTCGGGCCTATATAGCCCAGTGCTTCATGGCCAGAATTGGAATGATGAATGTAAGCAGGAGCAATAATTGGTGAAGAATACTTGTTCAATTTTAAAAAAAAGTAGGAACCTTTTTTGTCTTTTATACAGTCAACAACATTCTTTCGTACATTGTGAGATTGGTGATCAGAATCTAACAATGCAGTCTAGTTTTAAGTGAAACATAACTAAGGCTAGTATGAAGTGGCAGCACATACTTCCAATTAAGTGATTTCTTCCTCCTCCTTTTCCAGTGTCTATTTATTTTCATTTTGAGAGGAGAAGTTATGGTTTTGTATATTATAAATCCAAGTTAGGTTTTTGTGGATCACTTATTTTTCAGTGTTCATCTGCAGAGGAGGAATGAGAACCGTGCTCTCTGCTCAGCCAGGCAAGGCCTATTGATCCCTAGAATGTTAGTACGTGGCCAGGAGAACATGGCTTTCTTGGAAGATCAACCATGAAAACAAATATTACACAAAAAGCTTAGAGAAGACGCTATAGTTCTTTGGATCTGGAATGCATTGCCTGAAAGGGTGGTGGAAGCCAATTCGATAACAAGTTTCAAGAGAGAAGTAGATAGATATTTGGGGAGGACAAATTTATAGGCTATGGGGAGAGAGTGGGGGAGTGGGACTAATTTGGACAGCTTTCAAAGAGCTGACACGGACATGATGGGCTTAATGGCTTCCTTCTGTATTGTATAATTCTAGGATTATATGGGTGATGAAAATGAAAACTGCTCAGGTGGTTGAATCTGAAAAAGATACCACAGACCGGGAAGTGGGCAATAGCATCAGTGCTGGTTTTGAAATGCCACAAAATTTCCTCATGAATTGTTACAGCTATGAATGGGGGAGGAATGATTTGGAACTTTAATTTCACAGCTATAAATCTAAAACTTGAAAGATGTTCAATTTTAAAAAAAGAATCTGAATGTACAGAATGAATTATACTAAAACATACTTACATTGATGCAGATATATTGAACTTTTAGCAGAGCCGATTATGTTGCTGGTTTCACACATGTAGAGCCTGTTATTGTCAGAAGTCAAAATAGGCACCTTCAGCATGCTATCGTCTTGTACTTTGTTGAATATTGGGTTTGTATCATTCATTCTATGAAAAAGAGAAATAGTTTCAAATCTTAAAGAAGCACATCCCGTTTAGTTCACCTTTACCACATAGCTTTTGTTATCTTCCGGAAGGTGTTGATTAATTTTCCTTCTCTGTGGGATCTTGTCCACAGGGCTCCCTCCGGTACCTCACTCAAGTGGCTAATATTTAAATGTGTTCAACCATTGGGAACATCACAGCCAAACTCAGTTTTGTATTCACCCAACATCAACATATGTGAACCAGGTAAAGTGCACCAAATATTCCTGAACTATGGCCAATTGTGTTTTCCAACTATTGCAGTCCTGTAACTCAGTGGTTAGAGCATTTGCCTCCTAAACGAGAGACCTGGGTTCAATTCCTGGCAGTTTCCTCACTCCACACGTCTCTGTTTACCGAGCAGTAAGTAGGAACCCAGTTGTTAGTCGATTGGTGGATCACATTTCCGGGGGTAATAATTCCTTCAAAAAAAACAATTATCATAAATTGGTCACTTGACTGTTTGTTTGACATTGCTTGCAGAATTAGTTGCTGCGTTTCTCCCACAAAATACAGTATAAACCCAATTTCTGTCTCCTCGGTAATCAGCCACCTCGCAATTACGGGCACATTTTAACACTCTCTTTCATGGTCTATATTACACGATAGGCTGTCTGCTTCAGTTAACCAGCACCTCACTATTCAGGACAACGATCATTGATTGTGGCCGCTACAAGCGCCCTCGTCCTGCACAAACGTGGTATAAACACCCACCTCCGCTACTAGGCTCGGGCCGCACGTGCTGTTTGCTTGACGCTGTTACTGAGTGCGGAGTGAGCTCCGGTCACACATGCTCGGGGAATGTTGGGATCGCGGAAGCGCCGCAAGCAGGAATTCGACTTCGCCCGCGCCCACGACCTATCCTGAGCTCCTGCGGCCAATTCTTGGCAAGTGATGTAAACATGTCACCACAGATGGAGTTGTCCTCGCGTGAGGGAGTGGACTTAATCAAAAATAGTGAGGGCAAAAGTCATAGACAGTTTGCTGTTATCTATGGCATTGGTGGAACACAAGTTGGATGCATTCTGAAAAGGAAGGCTGAATACATCACAGCTTTTGAAGACAATCAACAGACTGATAGAAAATGTGTGTGTTTGAACTTTCAGTTTGAGGACATTCATAAACCTACATGGGAGTGGTTCCAGCGTGCCCGTGGTCTCAACATGCCTGTGTCTGGCCCTATGGTACAGGAGAAAACACTCAGCTTTGCAGCATCACTTGGCCAGACTGGTTTCAAGGCATCAAATGGCTGGCTTGTCCATTTCAAGTCCAGACACAACATTGGGTCTGCAATTGTGTCTGGGGAAAAGGGTGACATTGAGCCTGTGCTGTTAACAACTGGATGGATAAATTCCCTATGATTACAGTTGGTTGTGCACCCAAGGACATATTTAACATGGATGAATCTGGTGTTGTTTTCAGGGCTCTCCCTGACAGGAGCCTTTCAGTTTGTGATGATGGCTGCACTGGTTGGAAGCAATCCATCAATGTTCTTCATGCAGTCATCTGGATTGATTCAGCAGTCAACATGGTGCGTAGATCAATAGTAGAGAAGTATTTTGCCAAGGCTGGCTTTAGTGTGGATGAGCCTGTGGTGGAGGACCCTGATGATGATGTGCCCATTTGTTGGCTCAGGCCAGTCAGTGCCTGTCACTGGACAACCCTATCCTCAGTGCCGAGGATAATGTAGCCATTGGCAGTGATGTGCCCTCCACTGAGGACTTGAATGAGGGATGGCAGTAATGTCCATTGGAGGAGTTTCTAGCAGGAACCAGGGACACTAAGGAACAGGAGAACGAACGGGAAGGGCAACCAACAACATCAAAGAACCCTCTCACTTATGATGATGCACTGGGTTTGTTGGGACAAGTGAAGGACTTTTGCCTTGATCATGGACTTGACTCGTGGCAGACTTTGGCTCAGGCTGAGGGGTCAGCTGCTGGCCAAGGCAGTGCAGGTTAATCAGCAGCCAGGCAAACAATGCTGGACTCTTTCTTCAAGAAATGAACATGTTGTGTGATTTTAACCTCTTGTGTGAACTTTAAATAATGAAACCTAAGATCTGTTTTAAATGTGACAATGCCTTTAGTTTAATGAAATTGCAAAGTAAGGTTGTTGAATGTTTATCACCTTTGCCCATTACCAATGCCCTTAACATTACATCAATGACCTGAATCACCCGGCCTGTTTCAGTCGTCAGGTCACCTCACTAAGTAGGCCACTTATACCAGCCACTTGAGTGACCGGATTAGTGAGGCTCTATTGTTTCCAGTCAATTCACTTTACACTATATTCTGTGAAGCACTTTGAGACATCTTGAATACGTGATGAAGCGCTATATGAAATGCAAGGATTGTTATCATTTTAATTTCCCTTGGAAATGGACACAGGTCAGTGTCACTGGTGCTTTTCTAGTCAGCAGAGACAGAAAAGTTCAATTTTCTCAGTCGGCACTGAATTTGAGCTCGGTGCTTATAAGTGTAAAGGCAATTTCAAAACTTTCCATTTGTAAGTGGCATTCATAATTGGAACTCTGATTCGGATACTGTTAAGCATGGTGATAGGTTTCCATATGTGACAAACATCAAGATGACCAAAAATAAGCCCAGTCACTATAACAGAGACATTTCCTCACCTTGTCCATCTGATTCCTGTAGATGGAGGATTAGCATCTGCATTACATTTCAGCTGTAAATTATCTTGGTCAGTCTTCACAACTGTACTGGCAACTGATGGCACATCTGNAAAAAATACCATTTTAAAATCTACTTCAAAATCCACACTCCATGGCAATATTCAACAAGAGAAGGGACCTTCTCCCAGTGTCCTGGCCAATAATCTCCCAAATAACAAAAAATGATCATTCAATTCATGGCTGTGTGTGGGACATAGAACAAATTGACTGCCGTATTTGACTACAAATGAAGTCACTAAGCCTTACAAATAAGCTGTGTAACTTTTTGGAAACAATGATATGATAAAGTGCTACATCAAATGCAAGGATTATTATTCTAAAAACTAAGCGGAAGGAAAAGTCCAACTTAAATTTGTGGCTCAGAAGAGCTGAATTCAAGCTGTAAAAGGGGTGAATTTGGTCAAGTTATTCAAATGCCAAAGGTTTGTCGATTGCTCAATCAAAATGCCATTGTTCTGTCAACACAATAGGTTTATAAAGAGGTCAGTTTAATATTAACCAGACATGAAGTAAAAACAGTCTAAATCAATCTGTAAAAGGTACCAAAAACAATAAAGAAGAATGGAAACTTATATCAAGGGAAATAAATTTCTCCTGCAACAATATAGCAGATGAGATCACTGGACCATTTGGTGCCAGGAGATTGAAGAGATGTTTCTAACACACTTCAAGCAGTTTTAACTTAAGGATTAAAGACTATATTTCCAAATTCCTCGTCTAATTGTCCGCCTATCCAAAAGATGGATAAGCTCAGAATAATCAAGAGGAAAAACAGCTAAACACAGCTGCTTATTTTTAAAAAGGGGTAGCATTTGATTGGAGATACCCTCCAACCATCTCAGCCCACTTCCACTCACAAAGGGAGGAGCCCACTATGTAATATTGCAAAGTTCAACAGGTATATTAATGCAAAGTTCTGTTCAGTTAGTTTAGTGTAGAGCAGATTTAAGATTCAATGAGATATTCGAAAATGGAGATTCAAAGAATGTAGATTCCAAGGACGATTCAAAATTCAAGATTTGGAAGATTCAGGAAAGTTTTCTCCAGAGAAGTATAGACAGATAAAACTCCACTATAACAATTCTGCTGTGAAAGCTAGAAAGTTTGAAGACTCTTGTAGAACTTTATTAAATAAAACAAAGGACTGTTATCCTGATATGAATCTAGTAAAATCATAAACAATGAAGCAAAACAGGACAATGGTGGAAGAGACGGACAAAAGATTGCAGACTGTAAGGAGAACAATAATCTTTCAATTTTGTTTCAGAACAGAGCATTAATTCAGATCATGAAGTGGTAAACATTCTTTCTCTGCCTGCTCCAAGTACCCAAATACATTTGTTAAATAGGTTCAATTCAGTTAGTGGTGATACGAGTCTTCACATGCTGTGATTCTCAGTCCACGAAACAAAGCATTATTAGTGTAATTGACTATAAAATTGGAATCTCATAATTTTCCAAATCTTTCATGTAATAAAGAATATCTCAATAAGCCTGAGATGCATGCATAATTGTTGTGTGCATGCGACAGAGAGAGAATTTGACTTTTCACTTGGTCAGTACTATAGTACAAAAGATGAGCAAACAGGAAAGCATGAGACAAGATGCAGGGACACAAGGATGGAGTTTCAGAGAGGGATAGGTGAAGCTGGCAAAATTTGCTGAGCACAAGAACAAGAATAGAACACAAGCGATAGAAGAGGTGGGGTGATGGTAGGCCATGGAGACATTTGAAAGGGAGCAGAAAGGAAACGAGTGAAGCTGAGTGAGGATGGGCTGATGTGCTCACAGAGCCTGCTCCAGGAGATGCCACACGCTGCAGAGTTCTGGATGGTCTGTAACTTGTGTCGGAAGCAGCTGAGGATCTGCGGAGCAGTAGGTTGTTGCAATAGTTGAGTTTGGAAGCGGTGTAAGTGTCTCAGCAGGAGGTGTGGGATGTGGGGAGCAATAGTGCAGGAAGTAAAATTTGAAGCGTTAAGCAGAGAAAGTAGAACTAATGAGAACTTGTATGCCTGCGAGAGAGAGAGAGAGAGAGAGTGTTCAATGTGCAGGTCAATGAGGTCAATGACTGAGTTGAGAAGGTGTGGATGGGAGCTATGTATGAAAACCTTACCCCAGAAATTTAAAACTCCTCCAAGATTTGATGATGTAACTGAAAACTGACTGGAAAGTTGAAAGGAGAAACAGCAGCATTAACAACTGTTACTTCTATTATGTGTATTTACTAAAATGGCATTAACAAGTGTTACTAAACTGTGTATTTACTGAACCGGACGTTAAAACAGTGTAGGAAGAGATGGTTATACATACAATGTATGTTTGACTGATAACCCAATTGTTCAGCAGTCTTCAGTGCTGGATATATATTATATATAAATAATATATTATATTGTGGACCACTCTATCCTCCTCCACCACCTCTTCTCTCACCATAACCTTCGAGGTTCTGTCCTTGAATGGTTTAGATCCTATCTCCAACACTGGCTCCACTTTATCTCCACAAAATGCTTCTCCTCCAGCCCACGCACCATCTCTTGCAGTGTTCCTCGGAGCTCTGTCCTCTGTTCTTCTACCTGTACATGCTC